AGGAGGGTGTGCAAGAGGGCATGGACAAAGGAGACAATCCAGGAGCCAGCCACCAGCAGCACACACAGCTCACCCCTCATGATGGTGGGGTAGTGTAGAGGGTGACAGACAGCCACGTACCTATCATAAGCCATCACTGCAAGAAGGAGATTGTCAATGCAACCAAAAGCTGTGAAAATATACAACTGGAAAATGCACCCAGCATAGGGGATGGTATGGTCCTGAGTCTGCATGTTCATGAGCATCTTAGGGGTGGTGACAGATGAAACAGAGATGTCAGTGAGGGCCAAGTGGCTGAGGAAGAAGTACATGGGCGTGTGCAGGCGAGCGTCCAGCCTGATGAGCAGGATGAGGAGCAGGTTCCCCAGCACCGTGGTCAGGTACATGCCCAGGAACAGAGCAAAAAATGTGCCCTGCTGCTCGGGCCGGATGGGGAGCCCCCGCAGGAGGAACTGGGACATGCCGCTCTGGTTCTCAGACCTCATGCTGCCCTTGTGTCTTCTAGGGATGAAGAAAGTTTGGGAATCTTAGGAACCTAGAAAGGATGACCAGGACCATCACATCTCATGTTGTCCTGCTCTGGGAAAATCATGAACTTATAATTCCACTCCTGTTAATTTCTAATCCAGTGGATGCAGGCACCTTTGCTCCATCCCTATCTGGCTCCAGGAAAACATCGCACCCCTAATCAGCCAACAAGACCTCATGGTGCAGAAGCAAGAGGGCGTTCACTGATTCATCCAGCCTTTATTTATGGAACATCGAGTCTGTGTCGGGACCTCGACAAGGACTGAGATGCAGCAGTGAACAAGAAAGGAAGCTCCCTGCCCTCTGTGAGTGTAGAAATGATGAGCAGAGAGATAAGCTCTGCCCAGGCAGGAGCCAAACCATAATATTTCTCTGTGGTGGAAATAGTGGATGAGCCTCGGCAAACTGGTATCACTGTTTCTGCCTTAAAGTACCGTGAGACCCCGGTGCTGAGGCTCCGTTAGTTGTTGTCATGCTCCTGTGAACCTGCCGGGTCCCACAGATCGACAGCTGTAAACTCATGGGCACTCTAAAAATGGGTGGCCATTTAAAGACACTTGAAGCTAGACTAGCACACAAATCAGAATAATCCTCAAACTATCTTTCATACTAATGCTGAGTAATTTGGTGAACAGTTGGGTCCTGGACTAAGGACTTTACCTACGTTTTCAAGCTGAATCCACACATCAGCATTACATTCTCAGATTTTGAAAACTCTTCACAGCTGCACTAAGAATTTGTGTTCTTTCTGCTTTTAGTTTTAAGATATAAAAGCAGAAACGATACAATTCCATAGGCCCCCCAGCAGTACAGTAGGGGACAGAATGGCACACACACAGACACACACATCTGTATCTATAATTCATGTAATATGTAATATATATAAATTGATATACGTGTGTTACCATTTTTATACATTAAAAATTACCAAGTATTAGCTACTCCANGGTGGGGACCCTCAGGATGACAGTCCCTATACAGATATATGAGCCTAAGATACTACCCAAAGGCAGGAAGATAAGTATTCCTCCCTCAGTGAAGATGACCAGCTCATTGAGGGAGATGTCGGAAGAGCTCAGCTTCAGGAGCACAGGGAGGTCACAGAAAAAGTGGTTGATGGTACTGTCCACATAGAAGGAAAGTCGGACCAAAAGGAGGGTATGCAAGAGAGCATGGACAAAGGAGACAATCCAGGAGCCAGCCACCAGCAGCACACACAGCTCATCCCTCATGATGGTGGGGTAATGTAGAGGGTGACGGACAGCCACGTACCTGTCATACGCCATCACTGCGAGAAGGAGGTTGTCAATGCAAGCAAAAACTATGAAAAAATACAACTGAAAAATGCACCCTGCATAGGAGATGGCACGGTCCTGAGTCTGCATATTCATGAGCATCTTAGGGACGGTGACAGATGAGAAAGAGATGTCAGAGAGGGCCAAGTGACTGAGGAAGAAGTACATGGGCGTGTGCAGGCGAGCGTCCAGCCTGATGAGCAGGATGAGGAGCAGGTTCCCCAGCACCGTGGTCAGGTACATGCCCAGGAACAGGGTGAAGAACATGCCCTGTTGCCCGGGACGGATGGGGAGCCCCCGCAGGAGGAACTGGGACACGCCGCTCTGGTTCTCAGGCCTCATGCTACCCTTCTGTCTGCTGGGGATGAAGGAGGTTTGGGAATCTCAGGAACCTAGAAAGAATGACCAGGACCATCACATCTCGTCTTGTCCTGCTCTGGGAAAACCATGAATTTTTAAGTCCACTCCTGTTAATTCCTCAACCTGTGGATGCAGGCACCTTTGCTCCATCCCTATCTGGCTCTAGGAAAACATCGCGCCCCTAATCAGCCAGCAAGACCTCATGGTGCAGAAGCAAAAGGGTGTTCACTGATTCATCAGCCTTTTTATGGAACATTGAGTCTGTGTCGGGACCTCGACAAGGACTGAGATGCAGCAGTGAACAAGACAGGAGGGTCCCTGCCCTCTGTGAGTACAGAAAATGATGAGCAGAGAGATAAGCTCTGCCCAGGCCAGAGCCAAACCATAATAGTTCTCTGCAGCGGAAATAGTGGATGAGCCTCGGCAAACTGGTATCATTGTTTCTGTCTTAAAGTAATGTGAGACCTCAATGGTGAGGCTGCGTTAGTCGTTGTCAGGCTCCTGTGAACCTGCTGGGTCCCAGTGACTGACAGCTGTAAAGTCAAGGACACTCTAAAATGGGTGGCCATTTAAAGACACTTGACGCCAGAATAGCGCCCAAAAGAGAACAGTCCTCAAACTATCTTTCATACTAATGCTGAGCAATTTGGTGAACAGTTGGGTCCTGGGGTAAGGACTTTACATAGGTTGCCTAACTAACTGTAAACATCACCCTACATTCCAATTTTAAAACCTCCTCACAGCTGCACTAAGAATTTGTGTGCTTTCTGCTATTTCAGTTTTAAGATATAGAAGCAGAGATGATACGAATTTCATAGGCCCCCAGCAGTACAGTA